CAAATGGGGAGGGAGGGACTACAAAGGCAAGAAGTGACTGGTTTACAAGCTTTCAAGAGGGAACCTAGAGCTAGGGGGCATGGAGGAAGGCAGAATCACCAGTGAGTACTATCCAATCTGTCTAGGTGGAGCTGATGAAATGAAATACAGATGGGTAACTCGTGATACTGTAGTGAATGGTTATCAAGACAGATTGTGAGGGTTGGAAATGCAGAGGTAGATGTTTTGTAGCAAGGAAGGGAGTGATTATTTCTCCAGTCTAGGATCGGAGGTCTCTGGGACCACCAACAGAGAAGAGCCGAGAGTGGGACCCTACGCAGAGAAGCAGGGGCGCCTGAGATGGAGACAGAGATGATGACGTGGAGTGATGAAGCAGCTGAGGACTTTGGATCCAGAGAAGGGATTGGAACCATGGCAATGAAATGATACACGATGGAATGAATGTAAAACTAAAGTTCTCTCATGTAAACTATCATATAGTTTACAATAAAACATTTAAAAAAAATTAAATGGCATAGAAATGTTTGCAAAACACAATTCATGTTTGATCTCTATTTGTCTGATACATAAACTCAGAGAGGTGCAATCAGCCAAGAGAAAACACATGCTTCGTTTTCAAGCATGTGGTCATTTCCAAAATCTGGTTTGGAAACTTGGGTCAGAATTCAGATGGGGTGAGGGGCTTTGAGGCTGAGGTATAGAGAGGGCAGGTGTCTCCAGGTCTTCACAGGGGTGGGGGTGGGGGTGGAGGTAGATCTAACCGGCAGCGGTCTGGTGTGGAAGTGAGGGGCCCACATAATGCTGGTGGGAACAACTAGTGAGTTCACCAAGGGGTGATGAAGAAGGCGGGATCCACCGGGCATGGGCGGAAGTAAAGACAACTCCAGTGTTGTGTGGCTGATGTGACTGGGTGATGTAACCTGACAGCAGACAGGCTGGAGTACTGGGTAGATTGGGGCCTTCATGAAAGGTTGAAGAGAAAATTTGGGAGGGGGCCCAGACTCAAGGTCAGAGGCCCAAAGGTGAGCCGTGAGAGTAGAGGGGAGGCCAAGCAGGGCAGCCTCGGGACCTCCCAGACCCAGAAGTCTCTGCTCTGAGCTAGGCAGGCATGGCCAAAAGCTGTCTAAATTCACATTAATTTGCTGAACATATACTGCATAAAAGCAGCTTTTTGATCCAGAAATGGGTAGACCTTCTACCCCAGCCAGAGCCGGCATGGTCTCAGATGTCGAGTGATTTGCTTCCTGGCATTTTCTCTGAAGATTCCAGTGTGCCACCTCCCAGAAAGGCTTGTCATCCCAGAGGGGAGGGGACATTCCTAGTCACCCACCCTCTTCCATCAGCAGCCTCTGAAGGATGCCCAGGTCAGGTGGCATGCCCTTTGACCCTGTTTGCTTCAATGATCAGAAGGGCAGGCCAGAAAGTGGTGAGGCTGGCCCTGCATGGACCTAGGGATAAAGGGGCCCCCAACCAAGCCTCCTCTTACCTTTCCCAGTTTTATTGGTTGTTCACATACCCTCCCAGCCCAGAGCCTGGTTCTGGAAAACTTCTGTTCCCCAGGCTGCTCTTTCTGGAATTGAGGTCCAGCCCAAGGTATGGGGACCTCCTAGGTACCACACCACACCAGGAGCTGAGAACACGGGAACACCAGCTTCTGCCCAATTCTCCAGTGTTGATGAGCAGCTTGGACCTGAGGGCTTTCCCCTTCATCCCCATCTTCAGAGAGGGCTGTGTTCAATCCAGCTGCTAGACCACTTCCTAGGAGCTGCCCTTGACCCTTTCTTTTTCTAGCTGCTGTATCCAGCTTGTTCCCAAGTGCTGTGTACCACCTAGGCCCACCCCCTTCCAGAACTGGGCTCCAACAACCTCCACTGAGCACCAGCACCAGCCACTCCACCACGACTGTGCCCCCATGCCCTCCTGCCCAGGCACTCAATGTCATCTATCCCCCACAACCCCACTGTTTACTTTGCTGTTGTAGTGGTTTCTGTGGCCTACACGCTGGCCCCTCTTCCTCCAGCCAAAAGCTGGGTGAGGGATGGGTTATTTGGCCCATTGTGCCAAGAAAGGGCCTCATTTTGAGGGTAGGGGGCAGAGTTTGATGTGTAAAGTTCCATCCAGAACCAGGTCACCACCTTGTGGGGAGTGGCCCAAATGCTTCTAACTCAGGACCCACACAGGACACTGGCTCTCCGTGTGACAGGCTCCATCCGGTCAGGCATACCTGAGCCCCCTCTCTGTGATGGCCCTGGATCCTGCCAGCAGTGAGCCCACCCACACCCCCATCACAGCTAGCAGAGTGAGAGCCGTTTGGGGTGAAGACTTTTGTGAGACAAGGAGGCCAGAGAAGGAAGCAGCTCGAAAAGCCGGAAGCAGATGGCTGGGGGTTTGGGCAGAGGGCTCTCGGGGTTCTAAGTGATGAGGGACAGGTCTGTGGCAGACAAGCTTTCTGGCCTCCAGGACACTGGTCTAGTGCTTAGGGCTGCGCAGCAGATTGGCGAGCGTGGGTGAGAGTGTCCGGGAGATACAGGACACAGGGAGGGTGAGAGCAAGACAGAGGACAAGGATGTGTGGAAGGGGACACAGCACAGGGCACAGCAGGAGAGAGGGGGGCATAGGCCACAGGGGCAGAGGGAGGAGGCAGGCGGGCTGGGGGATGACCTCTAAGGTGACTGCCAGCCCCACAGAAAGCGGCAGGGAGGTAAGGGTACGACTGTGGGGACCTCAAGCTTCACAACTGTCACTCACAGGTACCTGCAGGTCCAGGTCTGAATCCCAGCTCTGCCTCTCCCTCTCCAACCAGATCCCGTCTCTGGGGGTCGCAAGCACCTGGTGAAGCATGGGCCTGAATCCTATAGCCTTGGGATCCAGACTCTGATGTGAGGATCAAGACCTCCACGTTCCCCCATCAGTTCAACAGGGGAGCCTTCACAGATGTTAGCAGCAGCCAGGGAGACCGAGACTTGAAGAACATGGGATGCCAGTGGAACACCCACTCTCCAGGCCCATTGTCCAAGGAGGCTGCTGCCTGCTCTGTGCCACACTTCCACGGTGAGAGGCAGACACCGGTTAGGAAAGATGCTTTTATTTGAAACCAAAATGCCAAGCAGGGACTAGCAAAATGGCGTACAAAGTGGCTCAGAGCACCGCCTACCCACCCACTCCCTACGGCATGGGAGCAGGTCCTGAGAGGGGCTGAGTCTGCAACCCCAGCTCGAGCCCACTTCCTCTGGAAAACCAAATCAAAGGCCCGCCTGTCTCAAGACAAACCTGTCTTCTGTATGTGGTCAGAAAGGCTGGGGACCCTGGAGGGAAGGAGGCAGGAAAGGTGGGCTCCTTGGGGTGGTAGCCCCCCGTGCCTGCATCCCGATGAAGTACAGAAGCTGTACCCAGGGCGTCACTCTGGCATGTGTCTGGCCCTGACATTTCTTTTCTTCCAGTGTTTCAAAGGTAAGAGACAGAGGCAGAGAAGGGCCCCAACTTGACTTCGGGGAGAAGCACAGCCACCCTCTGCTCCACCTTGAACATGAAGGCCCCGAGCGTTAGGTCTGCGGGAGTCTGACAAGGGAGAGGTCTGAGGGTGACAAGTGTCTTGTTTTGCAATGTGGTGGTCACCGGGCTGCAGTTGGTATGTGCCGAGGGCACAGGGCTGTCTGATAGTCACCCCACCGGTTCTAAAAGGGCTGTCAAGTTGTGTAAAACTGAGTTTAGGGAATGAGTATGTACACAAGTCAAGTAAACGTCATTCAGACACAAAAGCTGACTCTGAGGACAGCGAACGAAAGTGTATCACAGAAGAACAAGGCCACACTTCAACAGGTCACAAGGAGGCTGACGCAGGTCTGGGGCACTTGGTGGGAGGGAAGATGGACAGACAGACAATGAGTACCGGAGTGTGGTGGACAACAGGAAAACCTTGTGTGCAGCCTGCCTGTCCGCCAGTCTCGTGACATGTGGCGCCGGCAAGGGCAAGAGACCTGGATCTCAGCAGGCCTTTCTGCTCCCCCCAGCCCTCGCTGCCCACAGAGAAGGGTGCTGGAGGGTCAGAGGCAGGAAGCCCTAGCCCTCAGGAATATCATCCCCTTGAGGACCCTGCTGCCCGACTGGCCTGCACTCAGTCCAGCTCTGGTGCTTGGTCTCATGGCCAGAACTTTGCATAGTGGCCAGGAGGGCGCTGTGGCCTCCAGACCCCTTGTGCACCAGTTGGCTTTGTTCACAACACTCAGGCTAGGAGACCCAGCTCAGGACAACAGGCAGCAGAGAAGTGTAGCCGCCACCTCTCACCCATACTGTGACCAAGCACAGACCTGGCACCCAAGGGTTCAGCACCCAGGGGCTATTCTGTACAGGGCACTTGAAGCCAGAATGGCAGGGGGAAGGCAGGCACTCAGCATTGTTTTGGTTGAAAATGCATACATCTGACTCTTCCTAAAAGCCTAAGGAATTCACTTAAAAATACTCACAGTTGTTGTGCCAGGTGGGCGGGCAAGGCCCCAGGCCCTGAGTGCACAGGGATCTGCTGGCCCCACGGGTCCCCGGGGGAAAGGATGTGCCGCCACACTGCAGCCGACAGACGAGGGAAGAGCCAAATCCATAGGATCCAGCGTCCACACACTTGGGCTCCATTCCCAAGACACGTGTCATAAAGTCCCTTCCCGAGCCGGCTCGGGCCCCATGGGGCCCGGTGGGGCAGTGCTGTGGGGCCAGGGGAGCTTGGGGCTCCACACTAGCTCACACCCTCCTGCCTGGCACCTCCCGCTGGATCTGCTGAAGCCCACGTGTAAACAGCATTAATAAGCAACAGGTGGAAAAATATATTTCCCGAGAAAAAGGGGAGGTGTTGGGCCCTGTAGACTGAGTTCACGAGTTACTGTCTGTGTGCCCCTCCTCTCTCTTCTTGACTCCTCCTCTTTGGTTCAGCAGCCCCTCGGGACCCCCGGCCCCTGTGCACCAGGAGAGGCAGCTGAGCCGTCTGCCCACAAGAGGCCATGCCGTCTCCACTACTTCTGCTCTTCAGCCACGGTGCCCACCTCAATGGTAGCTGTGTGCTCCTCAGGCCCCGGGGCAGTCACGGCCCCTTCGACGGTCCCCGTGGGCACTGTCACAATCGTGCCACCCCCGGGGGACAGCTGGGCCACGTTCTGCATGGCAGGGCCCAGGCCAGGCAGCGTGAGCAGCTGCAGGGGACTGACCACCTTGACCACCGTGCTGCCATCCTGCAGGGCGGCTGTGCTCAGCACCGTGAGACTTGAGGCGTCCGGGTGCACCTCCACAGTGCCGGGGAAGGGGGCGCCCGACGAGGCCAGCACCGTGTAGCCCCCCAGCAGTGGGGAGGCCGGAGCACTGGCAGGTGGGGCCTGTGGGGGGCCCTTGCTCAGTGAGGGAGCGGGCAGGGCAGACACCACTTTGCTGAGTGGCACGCTGGCCAGCTGGGAGACGGGCACACCCTGCGCGAGGGCGATCTGCGTGGAAGGCGCCAGCACCTGGGAGGCAATGGCGGCCGGCCCCGATGTGGCACGTGCCAGCCGGGGCCGCTTCACGGGCGGCGGCAGGGACACGGGCGTCAGCGTCATGAGCACGTTGCTCAGGTGCTGGGATTTGTGTTTCAGCTCCTTGGCTCGTTTCCGGTGTTCATCACACTGCTGCTCCAGGGCTGCGGGGGGCAGGGGATGGAAGGGGGGGCTCAGTCCAGGTCAGCAGCTGTCACCTGTCACAGGCCCCGCCCCTACCTCCCAGGTCACAGGCATACGGCTCACTCTGGTCTGGTCACGGGCCCCTACCTGCCAGGTCACGGGCATACTGCTCCCGGGACCGATCCATCTGGCACTTGTGACTGGCCAGCACCTTCTTGACCAGGTCCAGCATGCCGAAGTTCTGCACGATGTTATTGAGGAGGACCGCATCTGAGGGAACAGAACAGACAGTGAGATCAGGGTCTCGAGGTGAAGACCCACCAGCAGCGCCCTTCCAAAGGGCACGGGGCATCCGCTCACACTACCGGGACCAGCGCCTGGCTACGGGTCTCACCTCGGAGCTGCAGTGGGGGGTCCTGGACACGTTGCTGCAGGCCCGTCATGGTCCCCACCAGCTCCTGGTGGAATTCCTGGACAACCTCATCAAGGAGTCCAGCATCCTTCAGCCCCCGCCAGAAGGCGAACGTGTCATCTGTGGAGCCAAGGTGGGCTCAGAGGGCAGAGCCTGGACAAGCACACCCAACCCAATCCCCACCACTGGGAGAGCAGAGCTGCGGTTGGTGGGAATGCAGGCAAGGAAGGTTCTAGACCAAGTGTGAGACCCAGTATGCATTGGCCCCCAAGCAGCGGGGACACTCCTACGCCTGCCCATCTCCCCACACCAGGGAAACCCTGTTGGACACCCCCGCAGATGACACTGGCAGAAAGTGTACCCCCGATGGCTGTGGTCCAGTCCCCGGGGTCCTCACAGGTCTCAATCGTGATGGTTGCGGGAGAGCCGTTCACTAAAACAGACAGGAAGCATGTGTAAGCCTCATTCTGCATCACAGCCCCACACAGCTTCCCCAAACGCAAAGGGCCAGGCCCTCGGCTACCAGCCTCTCAAGTCTGAACGGGCCTCCTCAGGAGGGACTTGGGATCCCATGTGGCATCGCACTGGCGGCAGCTCCCCCAAGCCTGAGGATGGTATTGGGGGTAAGTCAGGCCCCATGTGGAGGATTGCTCAGGGACAATGATAGTGCTGTCAGCAGGTCACCAGGTTCCACGACACAGAAGCTGAGGATTCAACCCCACTCTGCCTTTCTTTGAAAGAAGCTTCCTCTATTCATGGGGCCTAAGGAAATTCTAAAGAACATCTACGCTGCCTGCAGGTGAGAAAATAAAGCAACCAGAGGATGGGCCTGCCTGCATCCACAGGAGGGGGCCTGAGAGGGCCCGGCGTGACCACACACATGACTGCATGTGGATGTGCACATATGTACCCCGTGACTGCACATGTGTACACACGTACACACAACCAAGTGGCCCTGTGACATGTGCACAGTGCGCACACCCCATGACATACATATACACCAACACTGTGAATGAGCACACATGTGTACTGGTGTGTACACGACTGTACACACATCCATATACATGCCAACCCATGACTATATGTACACCTGCTACAGTGTCACACACACACACACACACACACACACACACACACACACACACCTGCATGCAGCCTGTGGTCATGTTCGCAGTCCATGACCACACACGTTATGTGCACACGTGCAATGAGCTCACATATGCATGTGCACACTCACATCCCATGACAATATGAGTACGTGCACACATGTACTCCATGGCTACTCATACGTGTGCACACACATACATGTATGCACCTAAGGGCCTGAGAGATTGGGGTTGTGCTACCAAGTCCCATGCCATACCACGGGGTGGGGAGGAAACAGGCTATTGCCCAGGAGATGAGGGCTCGGTCTACCTGGGGTAGGGAACAGCTAAGAGTGGACAGTAACACGGCATGGCACATACCATCAGCTGTGGCCGGGGTGAGCGGGATGTACTCAGTTGATGCGGGGCTGCTAAGAGACACGCGGGCCCCCGAGAGGTCAATCTTGGTGCTGCGGCAGGTGTTGGAGCAGACCTTGTCGTGCTGGTAGAAGTCTAGCTCCCCGGAGTCCATGATCTTCCTGGGGGGGGGGGGGACGGGGACGATGACAGGTGCTTACTTCACAAACAGGCTCAGACTAAGACAAGACAGCTTTCCCCGTGGTGTCACCCTCACCAGAACCACCAGGCCCACTGGTACAAGCCCATGTCGACCCGCATGGCCATCTCATTACAGGATAATAAAGGGTCTGGGGGCTTCTGGTCCCCTCTTTGGCTCAGAGCTGCATGTGTATGACAAGCACACATTGTGTGGATGTATTTAGTCAAGAATCCAAAGAGAGGGTAAAAGTCAGAGTAATGTCCAGGGCCATGCATGTAACTGAGTGTGGCCTGTGTCTGGTTGCCACCCAACACTGCACACACAGGCTGTGATAGGTGCCCCCAAGGAAAGTCTCTGGAAATTAAAAGACTCGACAAGAGAAAACTTCCTGAAAGTCTACAATTATCCTGTGCTGCTCAGGGTGGGCTGTGCCACCCCCTTCACGAGGCCCAGACCCACCGGAGCATGATGCCATTCATGCGGATGGCCCGCTTCCAGTCCTTCAGAGTGGACTTGCCCGCCAAGTGCACGAACTCCTTGGGGCTGATCACGTGCTCATCATACTGTGGAGGAAACACAAACGCCCGAGTGAGGCCAGGCTGTCAGGGATGCCTGCGCTTCATGGCAGGGGCCCAGCCCCAGCAAGAGCACCAGAGCTGTGGAAACGTTTCCGGTAAAATAGGTACTGCCCTATCATGCATGGTGGCTGTAAAAATGAGGGCCCTGAGCCTCACAGTGGGGGCAGGGTACTGCCCAGCAGTCCAATGGGGGAAGCACGAGCTAGCTCCAAGTCCAATGGGGCATCCGTCCTCTGTAATGGAACTGGGATGGCAAGAGTGCCCTTCTGCCCTGTCCTCAGCCAGCCGAGGTTTAGGGCCCTCACCTGTCCCTAAAGGCTGTTTATGGTTTCATAGTACCTTGGAGCTCACCCAGCTTTGGAGGATATCTTTTCAGTCTTATTAAACAAGCAGTGACTGGAACCAGAGTCAAAATAAGTAAGACTGTGCTTGCTCAGAGAAGCAGGCTGGGGGTGGAGAGTCACTGGATCACAGCAGAAATGAAGCTCCCACTGGGCCTGGAAGCTGGTGCTTTGCCAGGCAGAGGCTGCTGTGCAGGGTTGGGGGAGCGGCACCTCAGGGCCCATATGGGATGAAGAACACCTGCTCTCTCCTGTTGGCTCCGGTGGCCCAGCACCAGATCCACTCACGCTTCTTCCCTCTATGGTTTGGAGCTTTGGTGTTCCTTCTTTGAATTTCCGTGTGCTGTCATGGGGACTTTTTTTTGAGTCTACATTCCAGGTAACAAATGATCTCTTTAGCTGAATCTAATCTGCGGTAACAACTGCCCAGTAAGTTTTGCACTCTCCTCTGAACTTACAGAGTTGGGCTCATTCTTTCATTCTCTCCTCACTTCTAGAAGTTGATTGTTTACAATTTGTTTAGACTTTACTCATGGCCAAATCTCTTTCTCACTTCTTGACCTAAATAGAATCCCTTTTTGTTCGGCGTCTTAAAATCCCCATCGTGGGGACATCTGTCCATGTTCCCACTTGCACTCAGGTGGCCCCTGCCCCTGTGTGTTCTGTGTCCTGTCTGCTTGTCTTCCTGTGAGCTGTGTGGGAATCACTCAGACCTGGGTTACAAAGGAGCTCCTAGGGGACCTGCCTGTAAGGACCACTCAACAGAGTACCCAGTTCCAGGGCCACGTGTGGGGCTGGGAAGGATTAGAATATCCACACACCAAGCACCGCACCCCTCAGATAAGCCTTTGCAACTGAGGAAACTGAAGAACAGGACACAGGCTGCCTCACTAGCTTCCCACCTACACCCCACTCTGAGCACAGGGAATCCTCCTTTTTTTTTGCCAGGTTGCAGAGGCATCTGGGAGATGAATTACAAAACCTCCAGGAGGCAAAAGTCACGGGACGGACACAAGTCTTCACACAACCCTGCCTGCCCGTCCCGAGGGCCCACCGGCACCTCTGTGCAAGGCCTCCTGTTCACAGTGAAGCACCCTTACCTCCCCGCCTGCCCGTCCCGAAGGCTCACCTCCCCGACTGCCGTCCCAAGCACCTCTGTGCAGGGCCTCCTGCTCACAGTCAAGCTCCCTCACCTGGACACACTTCACATTGATACCAGGGCACACGAACTTCCTCCAGATCAGGTTGGCTCTGCTGTCTCCGCAGGTGATGGGATACAGCACCTCAGCCCCCAGGCTCTCCTCCTCTTCAGCCATCTTCACTTCTCACAGGGACCAACAGGGAGGGGAATAGGCAATCAGGTACCTCTTTTCTTCAAATCATTTCCCCCAAAGCAAAGATACAGCCACCAACCCAGGGCCCAGAAATTCAAATACAGGCAGGCTGAGACAGGGACACGGTTTTAAGCACTCCCCGCCAAGACTGCCCAGGACTGCCTTCCACTCTCCTGAGCAGGTGTTCCTGGGAGGGTGTCAGACATAGTTACAAAACCCACCTAAGCAAATCCTAGCTAGTAATACTACAACTCCATTACAGTATGGTTCTACTGTGGAGCCCAGTTATGGGGAGCAAACAAACTGTATACTGGAAGAAATTACAGGGAAACTTAGTTTCAAGGCTTGACAGCCAGATGCACGTCAATGTGTGGCTATTGTGCTGCTGGTAGCTGTGCCCCTGGTATCTCAAATACCAACAGGGTCACCAGAGTAAGAACAAAGAGTAAGAACAAACTAGGAAGAAGGGAGAACATTCACTTCTGAGCCATTCGCCCTGAAAACTGCGAACAGCACAGAAACACTGCCTGATCTAGCCCTGGAAAGTCAGCCCTCAGGTTGAAAGGAACGCAAAATACGACTGAGGAAGAGCTGCCTCCTCAAAGTAGAGCTGACCGTGATAGTCATGAAGCAAGGTTTTCAGGTCTTTCATTTGCTGATGAGGCACAACTCAAAATGAGAAGAAACAGCTGCAAACATAATCAATAACTGGAAGGTAGAATATACGAACAAATTGGAAGTAGTCAAAAGTAAAATGGAATGCATAAAGATGTATATCTTAGGCATTAGTGAGCTGAAATGGACGGGCCATTTTGAATCTGACAATCACAAGGTCTACAATGCTGGGAATGACAAATTCAAAAGGAAGGGCATAACATTTGTTGTCAAAAAGAACATTTCAAGATCCATGATGGAACACAACTGTCACAGTGACAGGATAATATCCATGGGTCTATAGGGAAGCCCAGTTAATACCATCATTATTCAGATTCACATATGAACCATGAAAGCCAGTGAAGATGAAATTGAAGAATTCTACCAGTCTGAAATTGATCAAACATGCAACCAAAATGCATTGATAATTACTAGTGATTAGAATGCAAAAGTTAGAAACAAAAGGTAAGAATCAGTAGTTGGAAATATGGTGTTGGTGACAGAAGCATTGTTGGAGATTACAAGATAGAGTTTTGCAAGATCAACAGCTTATTCACTGCAAATACCTTTTTCAACCAGATGGGAATACACGGGAATCAATGATTACATTGGTGTTGTTGTTGTTGTTGTGTGCCATCGAGTCAGCTCCGACCCATAGCGACCCTGTACAGGGTTTCCGAGGGTGTAAATCTTTACGGGAGTAGAAAGCCTCATCTTTCTCCCGCGGAGCAGCTGGTAGTTTCGAACCGCTGACCTTAAGGTTCACAGCCCAATTCGTAACCACTACGCTACCAGAGCTCCTTTCGTTGGTAGGAAGATATAATGAAGAAACTCAGTATCATCAGCCAAAACAAGACCAGGGGTAGATGTGGGAAAGACCGTCATTGCTCATATGAAAGTTCAGGATGAAGTTGAAGAAAATTAAAAACAAACCCATGAAAGCCAAATTACAACCTTGAGTAAATCCAACATGAATTCAAAGGTCCTTTCAAGAACAGATCTGATCTATGAGAACTCATTACCAAAGACCTGCGGAATTGTTGGATGGCATCAAGAACATCACACACAAAGACAGGAAAGAAAGAAAAGAATGAAGTGGATGTCAGAAGAGGTTCTGAAACTTGCTCTTGATTATAGATTAACTAACGTCAATGGAAAAAATGATGACGTAAAGGAGCTGGCCCCCAAATTTCAAAAGACAAAATATTATATAATGAAATGTGCAAAGACCTGGAGTTAGAAAACCAAAAGGAAGCACACACTCAGCATTTTTCAAGCGGAAAGAACTAAAGAAAAAAAATCATGCCTCGATTTGAAATACTGAAGGAGTCTATGGAACAATATTGAATGATGTTGTTGTTAACTGCCACCAAGTCGATTTCGACTCATAGCGACACTGTATATATAGGGTTTCCTTCCTAGGAGCAGCTGGTGGGTCTGAACTGCCGACCATCTGGTTTGCAGTCCAGTGCTAATTCTACAGTGCCATACCGTAAGCCCACTGAACGGTGTAGTAAGAAGATGGAAGGAATACTGTACCAAGAGGAACTGGTTGGCGTGCAACCATTTTAGGAGGTAACATATGATCAAGAACCAATGGTATAAAGGAATAGGTTCAACCTGGACTGAAGGCCAAAAAAGGCCCTAGGAATTGACGGAATACCAACTGCAATCATTTCAACAAACTGATGCAGTGCTTTAAACATTCAGTAGTCCACGCCAAGAAATCTGAAACACAGCTACCTATTTATGCTCACTCCAAAGAAAAGTGACCCAACAAAATGCGGAAATGAGTGAACAATATCCTCGATATCCTACACATGGAAAATCTTACTGAGAAGAATTAAAACCAGTTGCAGCTGCACACCAACAGGGAGCTACCAAAACTTCCAGCTGGATTCAGAAGGGGACGTAAGACAGCGCTGCTGACGTTAGATGGATCGTAGCTAAAAGCAAAGAATACCAGATGAGGTTTACTTGTGTTTTATTGACTATGCAAAGGCATTCAACTGTGTGGGTCATAACAAACTATGGACAACATTGCGAAGAATGGGAATTCCAGAACAGTTTGTGGTGCTCATGTGGAACCTAGACACAGACAGAGAGACAGCTGTTTGAACAGAACAAGGGACTACTTGTAAGGTTGTATCCTTTCACCATACTTACTCAACCTGTATGCTGAGCAAAGAATACGGTCTGAGGATTGGAGGAAGGCTCATTAACAACCAGGTGACACAATTTTGCTGAAAATAAAGAGGACTTGAAGAATTGCTAATGAAGATCAAAGAATAGAGCCATCAGTGTGGATTATCAATACATGTTAAAAAAACAAAACAAAACTGGACCAACATCCTAATAAATGGAGAAAAGATTGAAAACTGTCAAGGACTTCATTTTACTAGGATCCTTCATCAATGCTCAAGAGAAGCAGCAGTCAAGAAATCAAATGAAGTACTGCATTTGCAAATGTGCTGCAAAAGACCTCTTTAAAGAGATTACTTTGAGAGCCACATCGCACCTGACCCAGTATTTGCAATGGCCTCACATATGCCATGTGAAAGCTGGAAAGTGAGGAAGGAAGATGGGAGAAGAATCGATGCGTTTGCACTGTGGTGCTGGCGAAGAATATTCAAAGTACCGGGGACGGCCAGAAGAACAAAGAAATCTGTCTTGGAAGTAGCACAGCCAGAATGTTCCTTAGAAGCTAGGATGGAAAAACTTTATCTCACATACTTTTGACATGTTATCTGAAGGGAACAGTCCCTAGAACAAGGACATTATGTCTGAGGGTCCGTGAAAAAGAAGATCACCAATGAGATGGGTTTTCACAGTGGCTGCAGCCATGGGCTCCAACATTACAGTGACTGTGAGGTACAACTGACTCGAGGACACCTACTAAGAGACAGCAGGCTCCTTCATAATCCCAAACCCTGGTACTTTCAATGGCCTCATACGCAAGTCAGAGTTGGACAATGGACAAGGAAAATTGGAGAACTGATGCATCGGAACTATGGTGTTGGTGAGGAATGTGGACTGTATCATGGACTGCCAGGAGAAAGAACAAATCTGTTTTGGCAAAAGTACAGCCAGAATGCTCCTGAGAAGCAAAAGATAGAGACTTTGTTTGAAGTACCTTAGATGTGTTACCAGGAGGGACCGGTTGCTAGGATACCATGCTTGACATCCACAGCTCACAGGGGTTATACCGACGGGCTCAAGCATGACAACAGTTGTAAGGATGGCACAGGACCGTGCAGTGCGTTGTTCTGTTTTATACAGGGTAGCTCTGAGTCACGGCCGACCTGATGGCATCTCCCATAAAGATGGCACCCTTGGGAAGACTATGGGGCAGTTCTATCTACTCAGTCCTACAGGGTCGCTAGGAGCTGGAATCGACTCAGTGGTAACGGTTTGGGTTTTGTGGGATAGGGCCCTTCATCTTAAGCAACAGAAAACCTCGTGTTATCCACAACCTTTACTTTTGCACCCTTGGGAAGACTATGGGGCAGTTCTATCTACTCAGTCCTACAGGGTCGCTAGGAGCTGGAATCGACTCAGTGGTAACGGTTTGGGTTTTGTGGGATAGGGCCCTTCATCTTAAGCAACAGAAAACCTCGTGTTATCCACAACCTTTACTTTTGCTCACTGATGGTTACAGTAAGTATAGGAAGGCCAGTGACCAAGACAGATAGGACAAAATCCCAAAGTCTGGGATGCCCGCCTTTGCTTGCCCCTCTAGGGTGGGGCAGAGCTGCAGAGCAGAAATATGGAGTTGAAACTGGCAGACCCTCACGATGGACCGACCCCTAGCCCAACTACAGCTTTTTAACCTTGAGGTGGACAAAGACGAGAGACCCAATTAGCTGTCACTCACTTACAGAGAGAGAGAGAGAGAGGACCAGTCAGCTGTGGGGCCACCCTGCCAGACATGAGGAGGCCAGTCTCCTACCTAAGACAGCCTCCTTGAGCTGTGATGAGGCTGTGAAGGCTGCAGCCGCCGCTGCCGCAGCGTTCTCCGTCTCCAAGCTGTCCTCTGTGAGGTCACCCCTGGAAAGCCAGGAACAGAGAGGGACATGTCAGCCTGTCAGCAGCGCACGGCTCTCTCTCAGCTAGAACACTGTGGTGTCCATGCAGGTCACCAGGCTGCCCATAGGGGCTGGTGTGCCCCCAGTGTCAGTTCCGGAGCTGTCTTAGAGCCTAGAAGAATACCCAGCATAGGAAAGGGCCCAAGGCATCCCCATGTCTTCCTTCAGTGACGTTCCTTTCCTGTGATAACGTGACACATTCAGACAAAGTACGAGAAAACGCAACATTTCATCAAGGGGAAAAAACACGTGTGACCGAACCTCATCCTGTATCCAAGTAAACTATAGTGAAATCAAATGTAAATGTAAGTCATAAAATTATTCAAAGTTAAGGAGGGCTAATTTTTAAATTATCTCTTAGTGGTGAAAAGTTTTTCTTACCTATGACATAAAACCCAGAAATAATGATACATGTGTCTTAAAAAAAAAAAAAAATTCTCTGTGTAGGAAAACAAACGTCTACACTTGTTTTGTTAAACAATTTTCTTCTAAAAAGAGAGAACTTGGTTCTTTCCAAAGTTAAACACAGAATTACTTTACGATTCAGCAGTCTCACTCCTTAGTACAAATCCAAATCAGGTGTTTAAATCCCTGTGCACCAACCATCACTGCAGCACTACACACAACAGCCAACAAGTAAGTGGGAACCACCCCAGTGTCCATCAATGGGACACACTTGGTCCTGAAGAGAATTAAGGTCTGCCGCCCACGAGGAGAGAGCCCTGAAGATGCTGAGTGGAAGGTGTCACACGCCTAGGGCCAAGGACTGGATGATGCCACTGACAGGAAACGTGTGAGTGGCTTTTGGAATGTGGAGGGGAGGAGCCACTGCCTGCAGCACTGAGGTCCTGTGAAGGGGATGGAAAGTCTGAAACAGCAGTGACAGTTGTCTAACATGATGATCATAATTAACATCACGGAACTGGACACATAAAAATGGTGGACGCGTTGTATCTATTTTACCACAGTAAAAAACAAAAACAGATGGGGTAGGTGGGGGGAAGGCAGTATTAACAATCCACCCAAGTCACGCAACTCATCTCTAGAGCCACCCCACAAGGAACTGGGGGAAAAGGGTCAGAGCAGGACCCTCAATCTTCTAGATGACGGCCCATTAGACAAGAGGCTGTGCGAGTGAAGATGACCATCAACAAGACGGACAGCAGGCAGCAGGTGGACATGAGGCAGCTCCAGGAGACTCTGTGGACAAGGCAGAGCCCAGAGTCCTCAGAACTGTGTGAGCAGCAAAGTCAGCCAGGGCTGGAAGGCAAGGTGCCGCCTCAAGGAGGTGATGCGACAAGCAGGCTTTTCTGTGCCGAGGCTGTGGTGGAGGAGTTTGCCTGAGACCCGAGACACTACTAGAAACAGCTCCTTGGGTTCCAGAACCCAGCAAGGGCCGCCATGGGGACTGGCCAGCAGAGGGGCAACTGTGGAGTACAGATGGAAACCCGAGTTTTCCTCCAACAGCCAGCATACCCGTGACCCCTGGCTGTCCCTGCTGGTTGGAAGCAGTGACCCCTGCTCCAGGCCTCATCCCAGCACCACTTGGGTCTCCGTCTCTCGCTGCAGGCACCCCTGCTCTGGTGGGATGGTGCACTGAGGGCAGAGGGCAGAGAGGCTTTGGGGGTTATCTCCTCTGCCACTCTGGGTGAGTCCCTGGCGTTACCCCAGCAGTCCACTGCCACGGCAGCCCCGTGTCACACTCCACCAGCAGCTCCAGTGCCCAGAGCCCTCAGCCAGCTTCTAGTCCCCACCTCCCCTCAAAGCACAGCAGCAAATCGCAGCCCCCAACTCCCGACAGGACGAGGATTTCACACGCAAGAAAAGAGCTTTTGGTCTATCACATTAGTCCTTCTTGGCTGCCACGTTCTCCGTTCATCTCACAGCAGAGGCACGCCGCCTCTCCTTCCGTCCATGACCACCTGACACAGGCAGGCAGACTCTCCAGCATCTTAGCAGTGGCCTTGAAAATGGTAAAATCACCTGGGATCCTGAGGAGGTCAGCCGCCCTACACTGCTACCGTCACAACTGCCACCTTTAAGAATCCTGACTTCTAGTGCCTTCCCCCTCCCCGGCTCAGCCAAGCTTTGTCTCCCCCTGCATACCTTCTCTCCCTCCAACCATTATGGTACCCAAGCCCACACTCGTCTGTCTCCAGCAAGGAGCAGGAGAGCCTGCTCCCGCCAGTCCCCTGGGCAATGTTGGCAGCTTCTTGGGCTCAGTCAGGACACACCCTCATCCTTGAAAATCACCTTCAAGCTGCAATCCCGGACCTCTCTGAGTGCAGGTGTGGTGATCTCCGGCAGGCGTTTCAAAGCTGATGTGCCCCAACTGAACCAGATTCACCGTCTTCCTGAGCCCTCACTCCAACCCATCCTCGCGACGATCTCTGTAGACTTCCACTCCCGAGCCCTCCTATGATTTCCACTGAGCAGGGTACGCCCCCACATCCTGGAAGATCCTGGAGGCCCTTCTGGCCCAGTCCGGCCCTCCTCAGCTCATCTTGGTCACTCTGCTCCGGAAACATGGCTGCTTTCTGCCTCAGGTCTTAGGCTTCACTCTTCAGGCCCCGCACATCAGCTCCAGAGCACAGACTTCAGCAGGTGACCATGCCCATGTGTGAGTGCTGATTCAGTGACCATCTTCTCCATTTATACTTGCTCTCCTTGACCATGCTGTGGGCCTGACATGCAGGACCCCTCAATGCATGAAAAGGTGTGTGGGAAGCAAACTCCCAAGCACAGTGTGGCCTGGTGGCTGCTGCGGACCAACTCTCAACTGCTGTCAATCACGACAATGCTGGCTCACGGTAATGGCTGTGCACCACTGCATAGTGTCTGGGGCCCGGGCCAGGAAGCTCCCTCGGTGGGGCTAGAACCTTCCATGATGATGTCTGGTGGGATGACCCGAAAGTAAGCTCAGCTAGAAGAGGAATAGCTGCACATGGTTGATCTGTGTATGTGGGCTCCCCTGGCAAGGAGGCTGAGTGTCCACAGCGTGCCAGGCAGAAACGGCATGGAAACAGGCCGAAAGAGCCTCCCAAGATGGGTCCAGCCACATGGCCCAGTCCCGAAGCTTCCTCAGAGGCAGTCAGCAGGAATGCAGTCCACAGCTCACCCTCGCTGAGGCCAGTGGGAACGTGCAACTCACGCACCTCAGCAAGGGTTAGGGTAGCAAGAAGAGGGGTCCCTCCAGAAGCTGGTGGGAAGGAAGACTGCAGCAGCGTCTCTGCTCTCTGTCTCCCCTAAAGAGGAACCATTCTGCACTTCTGAAGCTCGCAGGCCCCTTGCAGTCTGCCTATGGGGACAGCAAAAAGAATGAAACTGAAGATGAGCTTTTTACCAACTGAGATTTTATTTGGACATCTACCCTATGAGATTAGATCAAAAGCATTAAGGTTGTCAGGAGAAATGTCAAGAAAACCACTGACTGTCCAGCTTCATTTCTGGAGCCAGTCCCCGCTGTTCCACCTGCTTCATCTCATCACAAGAGGAATCGCTGTGTGGCTCTGAGATGAAAGCATGTGGCTGTGTGGCTGGAGGGAAAGAGGCGGAAGATGAAGGGTTACAGCAACGTTGACAGCTGGGGTCTTCTTGGTTAGCAGGATGTGTCCACGTAGTAACAGAACCCTCCAGAAGCTTGCCCTTTACGCTTTCAAAGCCAGCTATGGCCCAGGTGAGCACACCCAAACCCCCTGACTAGGCCCTGAACCAAGTGGGCATTTCGTCTTACCCATGGGGAGCCAAGTTGGTCGTCACCAGCACCGTCTTCACCTCTTCCACACCACTGCCATCGACCGCAGTGTCGGGTGTTGTCACGACCACCACTTCCTCCATGTGCACGCTCACATCTGGGGTCGCCATGGCTCAGCCAGAGAGGACGCCGGGGCCACCAGCACCTCTCCTCCAGGGTCCCAAGTCCTGGGCAAAAGAAACAGGACACAGGGTAACGGCATAGTCTCAAGTATGCATACAGAATATGTGGCAAGCATCAGCTAAACAGCCACCCGTTCAGCACCAACCCTCTACGTTCCAACAATGCTGACAAGGGAGAAGAGCGCTATCACAGAGCCTCGGGTTTCAGTTCAGATGGAACAAGTCCAACCCACCGTGGCTTTCCCACTGACCCAACTGAAAGCCCGAGCGGACATGCCGAGGTCCTGAGAACTGACTAGCAGCAGGAGGCCTAAGGAAGAACCCAGCATTGGAAGGATGACTTACCTAACGTCCCCCTGCATCTCCTGGCTGACTCCCAAAAGTATGTGCTAGGAGCAGGAAGAAGGAAGCCCACACAACCCACACTAGATTTACCTCTTCTGCTTTCCCCTGACCCTGTCCTCAGGTCCAGTCCCTGATGGTGGCATGGTGGCCGTGGTTGACAAAGGTCTACAAACTTACAAAAGGCAAATTCTTGTCTTTGACCAGAGCACATGTGGTCCAGAGAACAGAGAGGACCCCACTGCTCTTTCCCTCTGCCCTCCTGGGACCTGGTTGCAGGGGCACACCCAGGAGGGGACAAAGGGCCCAGATTCTATCTAGAGGACAAGGAAGGGGGCCTGGAGTCTGGATATGTAGGGTGATTCTGCAGAACTAGACGGTGCATAGAACTGTGTAAGAATTCCTTGGTCTGCCCCAATCTGTGTATGTGTGGATTTGATCCCAAGTGACAAACTCAAACCCAGGCAAGACCACAATCTGGGTCTCCAGTTGGCCTCTGGATGCAGCACAGCCAATAGAGTTCCCAACAGCTCTGCAAAGGTTTGCAAACAGAAACAACATGAGAAGCACAGTCCATGGCTGGTGGGCCAAAACTTACTGCCTGATTCTAACTAGGTCAATTTCCTGCTAAGACTAAAAGACCTATATTCACCATGAGATTTCAACAACATGCTGTAGGATGAGCACTGAACTGCTAACCACAAGGTCAGCAGTTCAAACCCACCAGCTATTCCTCAGAAGCCCCTACACAGGGTCACTATGCGTAGGAACAGACTCAGCAGCACTTTAGAATAACAAGAGTCAAACTATATAGAATGTTATCCCAAAATACTCAACATACAAAGCTTCATGAAGATTTGAACAATTCTCAAAGAAACAATAAATCAAGGGAAATCTCTCTGAGATGACTGTTGAAGTTAACAGAGTTAAAGCCAAAGATACCTGGGACAAAATAAAGGACAGAAAAGTGCTAGCAGAGACCAAATGGACATTTCGGAACTGAAAATACAAGAACCAAAATAAACAGTTCACTGGATGGGCTTGACGGCAGAATGGAGACACCGGAGGTAAGGCTCAGAGAACATGAAGATAAATCAACAGAAGGAATCCAATCAGATCAACAGAGAACGAACACCAGACAAAATGGGTACAGCCTCAGGAAAGTCTGGAACAACACTGAAAAGCAGGCATCCGTGTCACTGGAGTTCCAGAAGGAGAGGAGAAAAAGTGCTAGGTTGGAAAAAGTATTTAAAGAAACAGTGGCGAATAACGTCCCAAACTTAGTGAAAGACATAAACTCAGCAAACGTCACACCGGAGAGATACAAAGAAACAGACATGCAAACCATAACCAAACTGCTAGAAGCCAAAGACAAACAATCCAAATGTCGTCAGATGAGGAAGTACACATTACCGAGAGAGAAACTATTCATAAACCATAACCAAATGGCTACGGAATTCCCACCAGAAACCGTGGAGGCCAGAGGCAGGTAACAATTTCCACAGGATGAAAGAAAGGGACTGCTGGTCCAGAAGTCACAGTGAAAATATCCTTTAGGAACAAATATAAAATAAAGACATTTGCAGAAGAAGGAAAATTAAGAGAATTGCTTGCAAGCACATTTGCCCTAAAAGAAATCTCTAATAAGAATTCTTCAAAGAGAATAAAAATTACAGAAAAGGGAAACTTGAGAAATTCAGGAATGCAAAACTAAAAGAAATGGTGACTATGAGGTAGCTTCAAGATGTTCAAGGAAAGATTCCATTCTCTTCATCTCATTTTCCCACGAACTTTTTGAAGCCCCTTCATATCTGAGTAAATGAAATAGGTTATTTTGCTCTTATCTTAAGTTCTTTAAAATACGAATGACAGATGAAGGCAAAAATTGTATTAGTGGAATTTTCAAAGTATGTAGATATATAACTACAATTTAAAAGTAAAAGGATCTTCATTGTGGTAAGGTTTCTGTATTCTACTTGGAAGTGGTAAAATATTGATTCCATGCACTATGAAAACATAAGCATGTGTATTCTAATGGGATCAACAGAGGATATAATCAGTTACAAGACAAACTACAGACTGGAAGAAAATATTTGATAATCACGTATTCAACAAAGAACTTATACTGAGACTATATAAAGAACTTTCCAAACTCAACAGTAAGAAAATAAAGAACCCAATGACAACTACACACATACAAACACACACACACACACACACACACAACAAAAACGGAGCAGATATTTCACCAAAGATATACAGACGGCAAATAAGCACAGGAAAAGATGCTTAGGGAAATGATGACATACCAACACACATCTGTGAGAAGTGCTAAAGCAAAACAAAAATATGGTAATATCAAGTGTTGATAAGGGTATGGAGCATCCAGAATCCTTAAACATTACTGTCAGAATGCAAAATAGTACAGCTTCTCTTGAAGAGTTTGGTTCTTACAGTTAAACATACCTTAGCATATAATCCAACAATTCCACTCCTAAATATTTACCCTAGACAAAGAAAATTTGTTTACTTGAAAACCTATATACAAATGAGTATGGAAGCCTTATTCACGAATGTACGAAACTGGAAACAGCCCCAATGCCTTTAATAGGTGGGTGGACAAACTGGGAAGCCCCCGTACACCACACACTGGAATCCTCATCAACGGGAATGAACTACGTAACTGCACACAACCACCTGGATGAATGTATGGCGCTGAGTGAGAAATACAAACCTCAAAATGCACGGTGTGGCTTCACTTGTAAGACATGCTCACAGAGACAAAACCACTGTGATGGAGAAACAGATCAGTGGGTGCCAGGAACAGGAGGGGTGGGGATGGGGTGCTATGCCAGGGAATTGTGCAAGGAAATCTTTTGGGGTTCTGAGTGTAGTTGTTGTTGTTGTTGTCAGGTGCCAGCGAGTCGGAACCGACTCATAGAGACCCCATGCACAGCAGAACGAAACAATGTCCGATCCTGGGCCAACCTCACCACCGCTGCCACACTTGAGTCCATCAAT